AGAAAAAGAAAAGTAATTGTAAGTCGTTCATCTTTAGTTTCAATTAAGTAAACATTCTTTTATGTTGTCAATGATATAGAATAGATCGTGGGAATTTTTTCTTAGAGTAAATTTACGATGAATGTGAAAAATGTTTTATTATAATATAAAAGTATGTGAAAAAGAACTAGAGATTATAATGTCTTTAAAAGATGCTGAAAATTAGAAATATACAAATTACTTTTTAATAATATTATAAATTAGTTTTAAACCATGGGGTATATTTATTAATTCTAGATATTATTTTAAAATTTTTTCTTCAAATGAACAAATGTAATCTATAATTTATACACATGTGTGAGAGAGAGAGAGAATCTTCTAATTAAAGCATCAAAAGTTCTATTCATTTCAATTCATTTGATAATAAATAATTAAAATGTCGAATAATTTTGATAAAACATTAGGAATTTATTTTTTTAGAAAAAAAAAATAAGAAATATCTGTACGCGCATGGTAAGTGGGCGGTCAAAAATATATCTGAAATTTATGTTTGGATAAAGATTCTTTTTATGACAAGTTTACAGTACAGTTAGCATTTAATGCCAACACATCATTGTAAACATTCGTAAATACTATATCATACACAAACAAAATATCATATACAGATTAATTTGATGAAAAGTTGGTCTTATAAAAAAAAAAAAAAAAAACTCATTAAAAAAACATCTTAGTGTGAAGACCAATCAACATGTTTCCTGCATCACTTCAAAAGCGAGTATGCATAAAAGAAATAAAAACATACTGAGTTTGACAAAAAATAAGTCTTTCCATTTTTTGAGCGTCTCGAAAAGTTAATATAATTCACTTTTTGCTCCTTTTATGCTTTTTTTCCTTTCGATATAATCTCGTAAACATCGTCATTAATTCAAGAAAAAAAAAATCAAGAACAAGACATTGAGATTTCTTTCTCTTGACTTAGTCTCAATATTTTAATAAATCATACAAATTTCCTTTTTTTCTTCTTTATTCTATTAGTTTTTTGAAAGATAATATCGAATGAACTTTGTCAGATGATGTGAATGCTGATGGCAACACGAAACATTCATAGCCTAGTAGATTATAATGTTTCGTGTTGTATTTCATATAGATAATTTATCAAAATCTTCTTCTTTTACTGTAAGAGATAAGTAATCTCTCGAGCTTTATTTATTAACTTCATATCTATTGAATTAATAATAATAATCGTGCAACTATTCAAATTTAAACAATAATCAGAGTTGAAACTTGAATAGTTAACTTTATGAAAGAAAAATATTATTTATAATGTTAACTGTATATATTTTTCTCGTTTATTTTTATCGGTTTTTCTATAACGATATGTACAACATGTTTCTTCATAATTTGATTCATTGTAAATATCTTGTATTTTTTTGTTTTTATTATCCATTTTTATTCTTCAGTTACAAATATTATTTAAAATTTTTACACGAATTTGATTTAAGTCCAATAACGTACACTCTATATTCATTAAGTCTATCAATGAATCTATATATGTATATGTAGGTGACTTCTTGAATGAGAACAATTTTCTGAATAATTTCTCAAATGTGAACATTTATAAACCGTGCACTTTTGAAGGAGAACATTTTTGTTATATATATTCTCAAAGGAGAACAGTTGTAAATTGGAAGATAATAGATTATAGCATAAGTTAATTAAGAAGCTTCTTAAAGCTCTGAACTAGAGAAAGAACAATGCTGAAGAGGCTGTTTAAATCACCATAAGGCAGTTCAAAAGATTGAAGAATACCAAGACGATCAACATGGTGAACGTTCAACGTTATAAAAGCGATGAACTTTGCAAAGCATTACCGAGAAACAAAAAAATGTCATTATCATTTGCTACTGAAGATACTAGTAAAAATGGTCATAAGTCGTTATTGTATAAAACGTATTGTTATCGCCTTCGTATGCGTAAAATTGATGGCACTGAAACGTGGTGTTGTACTGAGTAAGTTGTCTGCTTAGTATTGCTTCTCTTCTGTTGTTGAAAATGAAATAATCCATGCTAAGTACCAATATATTGCGTGGATGTATAGATTTTCAAGAGTATTTTAATGTTGCTAGAAAACCATGTTATAGAATCTTGTACAGTTTGTCAGATAATCTTTTAAACAACGAAGTTTCGGATACGGAAGTTTGAATATGTATTTTATTTATATTCTTAACCATTGCAAAATCACTACGTGTTAGCATCTATTGCAGTGGCTATTTGTTATCCTTCAAGGGTGTAGTGTTTGAAAATATTTGTTCTCCTTTAAGAATAAGTTTATAAATTGTTCTCATTCGAGAGTGCAGCAGCTGAATATGTTCTCCTTTGAAATAGATTATAAAAAACTTCTTCCTTAAGAATGTACAGTTTTAAATTATTCTCAATCGAGATGGCGTCTATATGTATATGTATGGTATTAGTACACTATCAACATCGTAATTATGTGACACATTTCATATAAATAAGTACATATAAGGGTAATTTTTTCTAATTATTTACGATAGCTTAAATTTGAAATTAGAAAAAAAAAGTTCATCAACTTCAATCTTAGTTTTCTCGCAACAAAGAGAGTGAAATAACAAACATGAACCAAATCAAACTCTCTTATCTTATATCAATCTAGTACACTTTTAAATATTTTCATTTTAATGTAATTGTGAAATAATAAGTTTATATCGAAGATTTCCTATAATGATTGGATTGACATGAGCTAATACTAATTAAAAAATTTTGGTATAAGAGTCGACGACTCCGACTCATACATACATTTAACTATGATGTTCTATGTTTCTTTTTTTTTAACTTAAATTATTTTTGCCTTTTGTGTTATAGTTAAGATCACAAATTTTCTCAGATACCAATTTGTATCTTGTGTATTTGAATTAGAACGACTATCTCGAATTCTCTTATGTATATATACATCCTATCTATCTATAGAAAATGAGAGGTTTCTCATAAGAGAACATGTTTATCCATTCTTGCAATTCAGAGAGATGTGATCGAAAAAAAACATTAGTACAGAGCCGTATAATGCCAACAATGTCTTTTATTTTCCGTACAGACTCATGGATGATTTAAAAAAACTATTTTTTTTGTTTTTTTTTTCGTTTTTATATCTCTTAGCGAGAGTGAACGTGTTCGTAGTAAATAAAATGATTATTCTAGGAGAATATATTTCAATAATAAAGATTGTGTAATGTCAAGAGCCCTCTTCGATTGAAAAGCAATAACACAAAATAGAGAGAAGTGCGCGACCTAGTCGTATACATCTGTTCAGAGCACTTAAAAACCAAATGAACTGAATAAAAAATTACAATGTGTTTATTGAGAAAACAAAGAAAAACAAATTTAAGATTGCAAATATATCTGATGTTTTGTTTTTCTCATCATCATAGAAAACATCTGTTTTGAGGTACTCATTCATCTCCAAAATATCTGCATAAAACGTACTTTATATCGGCCTCCTATTACATGGATATGCCGTTTTCGGGTAGAGTGTTTTTTCAGTGGACTCGTTCAGCTGAAGATTTACAATGAAAGTTAGAACAGTAAAACACCAATTAATTATTGAGTAGATTAAAAAATTTAGAGACGGATTTTACAAATAGGTGCGTGCTCAAATGACACAAGCATTTATCGTTTTTTATCAATTAGTAGTTTAAGACTCAACAGGAATTGTCTCCCCTCAACTATCGCTCAAACAAGAGTTTATTTCTATTCACTCTCTATAGGAAAAAAACTTCTCCATTTTGCTTCTATTGTCATTTATTCCCGATTAAAAAATGTAATTAATAAATAAGCAGTGAATCGAAGGAAAGAAAGGGAGCAGTATTCAATAAAAGCATTTCGCATGTAGATGATATCTACCTTTTGACAGATAGGAAAAAGAGAGAGCGTAAATTCAACAACAACGAAGAATTTTGTGCCGTCCATATGTAGGAAGCAAAAAGAAAAAAAAAGACATTTTTCTAGATTCAAAAATAAAATGAAGTTATCTCTTTAAAGTGCTGTTCGCATGACACTCTCTTATGCATGACACCACATTAACGTACTCTTAATTTTTTCAGTCTTGACTCATATATAGAGAAAATAGAATCACGGTTTGTCAAAGAGATACAATTAGTGAAGAACGAACAATAAAGGTATGAATACAATTATCATACGTAGCATAGAATGAGGAATTAGAACAGTTATCCATTTACTTCTGGTTAAATAAATTCTATACAAGTAAATATGCTGTTGCCTTACAAATGTAAGTTTATGGTTCATTCGTGGAGATGTGTTTTGTATTTTGCTTTCGATATGTTCTTCTTTTTTGTGTATTACCATTCAAAGTACATAATCAGTATTCTAGAAATTGATATTAATCAACATTTTGATGGTAAATGACATTTGATGGTATTCAAGCATTACATCCACAAGATCGAAAACTATTCAGTAGATATGATATGAGACAAGATCTTGGTTTGTATCAGATATGACAACGTGTAAAGGATGATGAAAGGGAGAAATAATGAACAATAACGAACAATAAAATGTAGCTGACCATCTCAATTAAATGAAAGAAACTAGAAAGAGATCAATGAATAGTCAAAAATTTACCTGATTAATATGATTAATTGTTGCAAATATTTATTAAAGAATATTTTTACAATATTAATTCGAGCACAAAGAGTGGGCGAATCGGCATTGCGTAGAAAAACAAACAGCTATTGAATGTTAAGTACAGGTGGTACCAAGATAAGTACATCGGATGGAATATTGTATGCATGACAGAAGAGTGATAAGACTATTTCCATCATCTGGCTAACATTTATGCATGATAAAATCGGTGTATAATGGGGAGAAAAATAGAACTATTGATACCGCATGGATACACATATATACTACCTACATTACCGATTATGAGGTCATTGCAACGAAGATATTGTAGTTAGTTATTAGTATTTTCTATTAAACAAGGTTCATAGATGTTAAAGCGAAACGTTTTGCCAATTTATAAAGGTTTAACCCCAAGTAAAACTGACAGTAGAAATAGTTACAGCGTTCACGTACAGTTGGATTAAAAGGTACATTTATTTAACTGCATGCTTATTGAAATTGTGTTCTACACTGTAAAAAACAGTCGTAGATCAATAAACTGTCAAAAAGGGTTTATTGAGACCAATAAACCTTTTAAAAAACGCTTTTTCGTTTTTTATATCCAAAAAACTAAAAAAGCGTTCGTGACAGATGCAAAATGAAAAACAGGTGGTGTTTTATCATTATTTGCATTTTGCATCTGTCACGAACGTTTTTTTAGTTTTTTGGATATAAAAAACGGAAAAGCGTTTTTTAAAAGGTTTATTGGTCTCAATAAACCCTTTTTGACAGTTTATTGATCTACGACTATTTTTTACAGTGTAGCTGAATCGGCCGCTGCATCAGCCGACTCATCGAACAATTCATTGTCCGATTGATCTACAGCATTCAGCTAGCACTCAGACTGAAGCTAAATTTAGTCTAGATAAATATACCTTTAATCTGAATACACGATTTCCGCTTCACGATTTTATTTCGTGCTCGGAAAGTAAGCATTAAAGTAAGATATATATATATATATCATCTTTTGTCCTGATGAGTCTAACCCACTAGTTTGGATTAAAATAAAACAAGTTAACGAACACAATTTTAAATATAAATTCTCTGAAAAATATCGGCACGATTAAAAATAACTGTGGAAACAATATTAGCCAATGTATCTAATGCATAAAATAGCATCTCTCTATATGAACTGATGAACAATATTGAGTGTATACAAATTTATTTTATAGTTGATAATGATAGTATTATTATATTATATGGTTTTATATCTTCAACATTAATCTCATACAATATTTTCAAGAAATTTCCATATTTCTTTCTCTTATTCTCTATAAACTGTTCATCATCTGCAGTGTTTAGCAAAGAGACGATTGAGAAAAACTTATTAAAGCTCTCAAAAACTTTTAAATATGTATAAATAATATGTTTATGATATATTAAGTCTTATAATAGTAATGTTTGTGATATATTACTTCATAAAAAGTGTATTTGATAAATAGTTTGAGTTTCTCTGTTCTATTAAGGGTTAAATAATCTAACTATCGTTTTTCATTTTTCACCATAATAGAACCTTCATATTGCTTCTTCTCAAAGTGACAATGCAGAAGAAAAAGCAAAAACAAGAGAACTGTTTATTTCTATGTTTTATTTCCTACTACAGACTGATGTTTTGTCTCAGTTTTCTTTGATGTGTGTATTTATGCATATTTTACGCAAAAAAAAGTCTGGATTTAAAGAAATGGTGTTTCTTTTTTTTAGAACATATAAAAACACCCGACAAGAAAAGAAAGTAATAGACTTAAATTGTTTTCGCTATTTATATATAAATTTCTCAGTATGTCAAACGAAGTCGATTGTACTTTATAACTTTCTTATAATGGAGAGAATTGAGCATATGTAATTTCTCGTGTATAAAATACGATGAATACAACAACAACAACAACAGCAGCATCTTTCATGGATGGCAATTTAACTGGATTTGATGACTGGGAAACATATCGTTCTTATACAAGATTTTACTATATTTCTGATGAAATATTTTTTTACGCAAATCCAATTTTAATCATCATAGGTATGTTTGACTATAAATCATTATATAAAATACGTTTGATCTAATTTTTTTTGAGTTTATCGAACACGCACTATAACGATGGAGAAGATATCACGATATATTTCCTCAGCCTCGATTTGCTTACTATCCTTCTTAAAGATATTCTCCCTTCTGCTTCAATCTGGCACGGTGAAAGTCTAAAATCTTCTCTAGAGATAAAACATAGCAAAAGAAATCGTTGTATTTTAGAATTTTCTAGCACATTCGTCTATGAGTTATTTTGGATGGTTTTCGATTTATACACTACGACTTCCTAAAAACTTTATCCAATCGTGCTCAAAATTTCATCAAGATATCTGATACACCATCTCAGAATGAAAATGTTGTTCAATAAATAAAATTAGTAAAATCTCTCTATTATGCCTCTCTGTTTTTGACTTATAAAATCGTATAACTCGGAAAAATAGCATGAGAAACAGAAAGGAAAAGTTGATCTAATGTATCGTCTCAAATATCTGCAACGAAATTTTAAATACGATCGGAGTCATAATGTATCTGCATTGTGAAAAAAAAGTAAACCCTTTGGTGAGGTTTAGGGCACATGAAAGTGCTCTAAGTGCGCGCGCTACAGTCAATATGAAAACAAAAAACAGGGCACTTCCATGTGCCCTAAACCTCACCAAAGGGTTCACTTTTCTTTTTTGCAGTGTGAATTGGAATCACTGGTGTTTTGAGCACTACGGTAACATTAGAGAGAGCAATTTTTTCAAGACATTTGTGTCAATGCACATATAACGAAGATTTTTTGGGATATGTCTCATTGTAAAGAGAACACTTTGCTCCATCAGACGATGTATAAGCAAAATAAAAGACACTAAAAAAGAGAGAAAAGAAAACGAAACTAAAAAGATTAAGTTTATTAGTCTTTTGAGCAAAAACTCGAAAAAGTCATAATTTTTCCAACATGATTGTGGTCTTACTCTGTAGCTTATACTTTTCTCTGAATAAGGCTGGATTTCAACTTAAAATCGAAAAATTTTTCAAAACACGAGAGATGTAAGTTACCATTTAAGTCAAACTTTATTAATTCAGAATAACTTTTTCATTTCCGCATAAATAACATGTTACAGTCAAAGTAAACAGAGTATACTTTATTGATGGCGATCCATTTCGTAGAGAAAAAGTGGATCACATTCAACAACCTCGGTTATATTTTATTTTAGGTATTCCAACTCATGCATTGAGTATGATTATATTTTTACGTAAACGTATGTGTCGTTATCCGGTGAGCGTTTTCATGGCTACATTATCATTGACCAATATTTTAATATTAGCTGGTCCCGTTACAATGCAATGGTTAAATCATAAAGTTTTCATTGGTTTTGTTGTCACTGGTTCACGTTTTCTATGTGCATTTCATGTTTACATAGATTTAGTTGGTTCATCAATTAATTCATGGCTAATATTTGTTATATCACTAGAACGTTATTTATCTGTGAGTAAACCATTTTTAATTCGTCAACGTTTTAATCGTCGTCAAGCATGGCATATTGTTTTAATTATTATTATTATTGCATTATTAGCACCATTGGGTCTTGTTATTGTTGCATCACAAGTACCCAATTGTTTATTATTCTTTTCAACAACATACCAAATTATTGGTTCAATTCAAATATTTTTCATCTATGTTTTGCCATCTATTTTAATTTTAATATTATCGATCATTACCGTATTTAAATTACGTAATCGTATTCGAAATCGTGCATCACGACGTATTCATATATCTGTCATGTTAATAGCCGTCTCATTTTCATTTATTACATTTACATTACCATTTCAAATATGTTGGTATTGGCTATTTTCAACATCATTTGGTATTATTGATCTTAAATTGAATATAATCAATATTGCCTTTCGTTATTTGGCATTAACCATTCGAAATTTAAATTATACTCTTAACTTTTTCCTATACAGTTTAACATCGGTTGTATTTTTAAAAGAAGCATTTACAATTGCACATTGCAATTATTTTTTAAGTCATAGATTTATGGAACGAAATAATGCTTTTAGACGACTTGGTCAATTCTTGAGAGACAGTCAACGAGTACGACAATCACCAAGACAAGAACATAATGGACGAAATACAACTGAAAATACTGGAGCGAATATTCATAATCATATACATTATAATAGTTTCTCAACGCCACATCCAAACAATGTACTTCCATTGGAAAAATTGAAAAAATGCAAATGTAAAAAACTAAAAACAAAACAAAAACAAGATAGTGAAATCGATAATAGCAATCATCACTTACAAACTAAAGAAAATGGTGCGGGATCAACGACACCGTCCAATCAATCACTATTAAAGTTTCGTGAGTATTAAACATTAATTAAGACATGGATTCGGATCAATTTTTTTTCTCATTGTCTTTTTTTTCGAATTTTAAAATGTATTTTTTGATTTCTTTTTTGTTGTAAGAAAAAATGCTTTTCCGGTGAATATAAAAAGTTCGAACATTCCAATGCTATTAAGATTAACTACAGATTATGTTTGTTTCAATATTATTCTTGAAAACAATCCAACGAACAGTTCTTGTCTACCAAAAGATATAATTAGGTTTTTTTATTCAAATTCTCCTCTATCTCATTTCTGTTGCAACTTCCTGGAGCAGAAAAGAGGAGAAAAAAAATGACTTTGTCGTTCCTCAAACATATGGCGTAGATAAAGCTAAATGAGAATGATTCATATTACATCTAACAATCTGGCTATTCTATATATCAGCACCCAATTAGTCCTTATCTTTAAATTCCAATTCCTTGCGTTATAACATCGACTTTCCGTAAGCCAAATAGAAAATTTTATCGTATTTATGTTTGACGAGCGCATATATAGAGCGCATATATAGAGCACATATATAGAGCAACGCAAAATGAATGTCATCCTGACTGTGCAAAAAGAACTTCTATGAAGTTATAGAGTTTATTTTAAAATTTAGAAAACAAATCTCTTAATATTAGTTGTTCACAAGATACTTTACACCGGTTTTTTTACACCTGACTGCGATACCATCATGCTGTAAAGATCACAGTGCTCCACAGTGGGCAATTTTAGCTAGGCACGTGCAACAATATAATCCATCTTTCTTGAACAAAGTCCTGGCCCTAACTTGTATGATAGGGTAAGAGTGCTCTGTGCATTTCTAAAGGATAATCAACCACATAATGTTCTTACCCAAATACTTTAAGAGTTTCTAAAGAGTTTCTAAAGAGAATTCTAAATTCGAATATTCAATAGCTGATTGGCAATGTGATTACTTCTAAATAGATCGTCTGATGACGAGAAGTTTGAAAAGATAGGAATCTATCCGTTTATGCTTCGATCACTTATCATTGTCTAGGATTTTCTCGTTTCGAAACTTCTATTAAGAGAAAAATTTTGTTCAAAATAATGCACATCCGACGATATAGTGAATTAAGAAATAGTACATCGTGCGTATGGAAAATGTATGAAAAAAATTTATTGTTTTAATCCTTTTAGCGACAAAGAATTTACAAATATTTTATTGTTTTCACTAAGAAAGAGAATTTAAAAGTTTTTCCTGATTTCAATTATTTTAAATTGTTAATGACAATCACAACATATTCCATCATAGGATTGTGCCAGAAATCTTTCTGCATTTTTTACATTGAAATTTAGACGTACTACTACTTTGTAAATACAATCAACACTAATGTTTTATTCTTCCTCTAGCCAAGAAAAGAAACAATGTAAACTGTTTTTTGTCAGAATACGGCATGTGATTTTACTTCACCTAGATTAAACGAAAACTACAGATATGATAGAACACATTGATTGTACACTCTAAAAAAAGTGCGACTTAGGATCAAATTAAGGCACGTTAACGTGTCTTATTCTGTGAAAATAAGGCACATTAATGCGACTTAATTTGACCCTAAGTTGCATTTTTTTTTAGAGTGTACAAAAGTAAATTAAATAAAAGTTTTCGTGTTTGCATTTAACGGTATAAAATACTTTTAAAGAATCGAGTTTAAATGAAAATTTAAACTCGATTCTTATAATTAGTATATTCGATATCAAATTTTAAACCAAAGAACGGAGAAAAAGAAAACGAAATACAAATCAGCTATTTTTTCTGATAACTTTTTGTACTGCTTCTCGTGAATAATTCATATTTTCATGAGGAAACGTTATTAAGGTTTAAAAACTTAAGAGACTTTGCAGTTTTGTGTAGAGAATCGAATGAGCACGATTTGGAAAATAACTAGAGAGCAATTACGCTGCGCAGAAGTTGTGATATCGCAGATTCTACCAACTCTTAGAAATACACGAAAAGTTTCTAAGTCCAAAAAACATTTTAGTTCTACTTGTGTAGCTTATGGTGCCCAATCTGGACTTAGTTTTGAAAAAATAACGTGCATTGGTGAATCTCCAATGTCCTATCCTAACTAGTAGTTTTACCGTTTTTAAAGTACTAATTACCAGGATCATAAAACTGATTAGAAACATCAGCTATCGGTCACGCTGATTCTCGTGATAAGAACATCTAGAAGCTCTATCTAGAAACTCAATAAAACAAAAACAGTTTCTGACCACTCTCAACCGTCATGTTATACGGCCCATACCAAAACTAGTATACCTTAAAAGTCCCAATTTGATCTTAATTATTCTGAGTGACTTATGAATTTTTCAGAAAAGTAATTAAAAATCATGTTTTACTTAATCGATATTCACTACCTTTTACATTTTTTTCTGATCGATAACCGATGCATCGGTTATCGATCAGAAAAAAATGTATTGACTGGATATATGTATCCAGTCAATTTCATGACCACTAAGACTAAAGAAAAAAAGGTAGACGAGTCCCAACGAAATTGTGTATCTCCAAAGCGAGAGTGCTAACGACTAAAACCTTGCTGAAATCGATAAAGGACGTTTTACGCTATCCAATCATAGCATAATAATTGAAATCTGGTATAGCTCATCAATCAAAAGTTATTCAGAAAAACATCCCCATTCACTAGGCTTTGGAATGGGTTCTAATAGTGAGCAGCATGATGGCTTTCGTCTAATATCTTTTTTTTATATAATAGAAAACAGTCAAACATATAAAGAATATAAGTATAGTAACAAAGCGTATAGAAAAAAATAAATTCTGAAATAATTTAACTCTTTAAAAAAAATAAATAGAGATGATTAACAGGATCAACTAACTATATATATGTATGATCAATACATGTAAAACCTTAATCTTGTCAAAAGAAGTGATCGAAATGAGAAAGCATGAAACAATCTATTAGTTATTTCTAATGACAAAACGTTTTAGATAGAAAACATCTGTTCGAAGTTGTTCGATGGACGTTTATAAAGAAGAAAAGATAAGGGAACATAAATAGACATTTTCTGTTCAGAAAAACAAGGCGACATTGTTTAGATTGCTGAGTAATTTTTTTCAATAATAGAAAACATATATATTTATAGAATATCTATTTCCGGAGTATTAGCACATACACTGTCATCAGTTAGTGATAATGGATCCGGAGAAGCTATGGGGGCTCGACCATCATTCAAAAGACGAATATAACCTACAAAAAAGATAAATAAAAGCAAATCATTAGTATTCTACTCAACAGAATAGCAACGAAATTTCCATTTCAGCGAGAAAGGCAGGTTTCGTCAAATTATTTACTAAAACAGTTATTTCTCAAAAACAACGTTTTTCTCCTTAGTCATATGTGCAGTGAATGGAATGGGTTAGCTTAGTCCCTTCCCTTGAGAGATATAAGAAAGAGTATAGTAAATTTAAAAAATTTCTTTGAGAAGTTAAGTAATGTTTATGTATGCTCTTTCTGATATACTGACATTCAAAGCGCGCTGATTCGTTGATAACCCACTGTTATATTTTCATCTTCATTATTTCTCAAAACAGATACATTATCTCTCAGTTCTATATTCCGTTTCATCTTCATAATTAAGAACTAGAATGCAATTGCGCTGTGCACAGGTTGTGATGCCGACAGACTCTGTCTCTGATGGAATCTACCGCTCCAAGCAGATCCTACCAGTAGGCTGTGAGCATTGCATTTTTGCTTTAAAAAAATAGTTGCACATAGTATTTTTAAGGTATTTTCCTTACGGAAATATACTTTTACAAAAGTGACCCCATATTCTGATAGCGCTTGGAATTTTCTACAATTCTGTATATTTATATCTGGTCTTGCATTTATTTGCTGAAAAACAAATTGAGTGCAATGACGGCCCCCACATTGTCAGATTCCTACGGACTGCATTTTGTTACTATTTCTTCAACTTGCTTTTTAAATTTATCATCACTATAGAAATTGCTTTTTATAAAAGTAATTATATATTCTAATAGCGCCTAAAATTCTCTATCATCCTATATATTTATGTCTTATCTTACATTTATTTGCTGAAAAATAATTTGAGTACAGCGAAGGTACCCCTAATTGACAAGTAGCAAAAAGGTGCATTTTTTAGCTACTTTTTTAGTTTTTTCCACACCATCTGTTCTAAAAGACTTTTTTTACAGACCACGAGAAAGAGCACATTCAGAAGTACAAAAAAGAACTGACTTCTCACTTTTGCAACCCGTTTTTTACGGAAATAGTAGCAAAAGAAAAAGGTTCAGGTGGAAAGAAGTAACAGATTTTCAAAGTTTTCATTTTTTTCGTCTTTCGCATAATCTGCGTAGTTTTCTTGATTGAAGCTCTAAAATTAAAGGTTAGGTATGGTTTTGTAGAGCATTTCGCGGCGCATCTTTTTAAAAAAACATTAACCTTTCCTAAAGGAACACGAGAAAAATAGAAAATATTGAGATGCCACACTCATTACAATTTCTGGGAATCTGACGATGAGGGGGCCGTCATTGCACTCAATGTATTTTTCAGCAAATAAATGCAAAACCAGATTTAAATATACAGAATTGTAGAGAATTCCAAGCGCTATCATAATATGTGATCATTTTTGTAAAAGTATATTTCCGTAAGGAAAATACCTTAAAAATACTGTGCGCAACTACTTTTTTCCACGAGGATATATATTTATTAAGTAAATCAAATCAATACAGATATATTTATTTGACATTTCGTTTCAAGAACAAATGGCGCTGGACAATCAACTCTTATAAATACACGAAAAGTTTCTAAGTCCAAAAAACAGTTTACTTCTACTTGTGTAGCTTATGACGCCCAATCTGGACTTAGTTTTGAAAAAAGAACGTACATTGATCAATCTCCAATATCGGAAGAATATCCTACCTTTTTCAAAACTTTTCTAGCTGCCATAGTTCTCTAGATCTCGTTTATCGTCACTTCATTTCGCTTTCCAATACTTCTCGTTTTGAGAAATTTCCTACAGTTCTGTAGATCACGTCGTACACATTTTGTAAAAAAGATTACTAAACAAAACAAAATTAGAATGCAATTGCACAAGTTGCGATGTCGACAGACTGTATCCGATCTGAATCTGACAGAAGTGATCCACAGTCAGTAGGCAGTTCACCACATCACGTTCGATGTGATTTTAATTGCTTTAAAAGATAGATTTTAGGAAAAATGAAATGAAAACGAAATTTGAAGAAGAGAGAGAGAGAGAATTATTGTTCCTCTGAAAAACACATCGCGCCTGACAACTGACGCTAATGAAATTTAAAAAACTTTCAAGTCGAAAACACGTTTTTCCCTCACTTGTGTAGCTTATGGTGCCAAATCTGGATTTTTGTGTTTGAGAAAAGAATGTGCATTGATCAATTTCCAATTTGGGGAGAATATTCCGCCTTTTCCAGGACTTTTCTAGTTTTCATAGTTCTCTAGATCACGAGGTGCACATTTTACCCAGAAAGAGATGACAGAAGAAAATAAAAAACAACTAGAATGCAATTGTACTGCGCACAAGTTGCGATGTCGACAGACACTGATTATATTAACAGAGACAGCGAGATGATTAAAAAATTGAAAAAAGTTTATTCTTCTCGATGATTTATGCTAGTATTGTGTTTGTATCATATAATTAAGTTTCGTCTTAGAATACAGGGATGATATAACACATATAACTAGAGTTACCATTACATGCCGGTCCTTTTGTAGAAAACCGACGATATAAGCGAAAGAACTAATCCATCATCAGCGTTTTCTCCCACCTTGCTAAAGTTATATAGAAGTTTTATGGAGCAACTCTAAAAATTTAGCTGATAACTAAAAAAAGGGCTTTTAACTTTTCGGAGTAATTTTTTTTTCAGCAAGAGGAAATTTTTTAAAATGAACGAAGTAATTGTTTCAAACAAGGGAATCCGACCTTCCCCCACGTAATCGTACCTCATAAGTCTTAAAAAGATTTTCTACAAATCTATGTTGATTTATTCTTATGAATTCAATTCAATTGTGTAATATATTACATTCATCATCAGCTTTTCTTATATACATTCATCCTTCGGTTGATATAGCAAATATTTACAGTAGTCCATTTTCTAATAGCTCATAAGAGTATTTTCTTTTATTTAATCCAATCTGGGTATTGACTTACGAGGAAATAAGGGATCAGTTTTCAAAATGGGAAAAGGCTAATGTTTCTTCTGTAGTCGTATACCTAGAAGAGAGGAATATGACTTTTTGATAGTGAATTTAACTGTCCACGAGTTTTTTTCCTAATATGTCCCACAATCTCAATTAATATAATCCTCAGCATTTAAATGTCTTTCTATTTTTATTTATAATTATAAGAACAAAGAATTAAATTAGTTGCTTTAACACATTGCACGCTGCCCACTGATATATCAGTAGCCCAATTTGTTCTATTCAATGATGTCGTCAGCGGGCAATGGGTTAAAGATAGATTATAAGGAAAATGAAATGAAAACGAAATTTAAAGAAGGGAGAATTATTTTTCATCTTAAGAGCAAATAGCGTCGGATAACTGAATATGCAAAAAATTTCGAAGTCCAAATACAGTTTTTATTTCACTCGTGACGCTTATGACATCGAATCTGGACGTGTTTATTTGAGGGCGAAATATGCATTTATCAATCTCCAATGTCGGAAGAATATCCTACCTTCCTAAGTTCCAGAACTTTTCTAGCTTTCATAGTTCTCTAGATTACGAGGCGCATATTTTCCCGAAAAGTGGACGAAAAAAGAAAATAAAAAAACAAAAATCCCAGCACAAACACATAATGTCTGTCGACATAAAAAGCTCGTTCCTCATGAAAATATGAATTGTTCTTCTTTGGCTTAAAATTCTGAAGTACATATGAGTCAAAAGAGTGAGGAAAACTATACAAAATACGCTCGTTTTGTCAAATTAAAACTAAACTCTACTATGTAAAATATTGAAAAAATCCAACTGTATGATCAATTTTGTTGGACAAAGAAAGTTGTCCATTTCACTCTTCCTGATCTAACACAATGCCTATATGACATACGCACTCCCTATTTTAAGCAAATAAACTACAATAAATTTTCAACATTTTAGCGAAACTGCGAACTTTGCGGGTGTTTTTGTTTCGAAGAAATATTAATCATAAGTTTAAATGAGGAGTGTACAGTGTTACACACTGTATACCAACTTACTTTATATTGTTCATCAGGATTGCAGAAATATTAAATTGTTTGATCAAGCATCAAGTTTAATCATTGATAGTAAGTAAGAAAGACAAATTGGGTAAAATAAAATTCTTTTTTACGCCAAACAATACTATCGCGTGAGAAAAAGAATTAACAATCATTATATTACAGAATACCTGAGAAAAATTCAACACGTCTTTCAAATGAGCATGAAGCACGTAAATATTACCTAATATATTAACATTTTATGTGCCATAAAATACTGTTAAAGTGTCTAAGTGTTACAAGTACTCTTCGTGAGCCACTAAAAATTGTTAAATATTCGTTTTTGCTTTGCAAATTTTCAAGAATGCAAAACTAAAAACAATGTGTATTTGTTTATTCTTTGTTTAGTTCCGATTTTATTTAATTTCTAGAACGTATGCGTTCATGTTGTACAAAAAAAACATGTTCATATTCTGTTATGAATAAATAAAACCACTTTTTTTCTTATTACTCAACGGACAAACACGTAAAACAATAACACAATATTCTTCTTTATGCAACGAATTGGTATGGAATTGGCTCCACTAATTGTGGTTTATTGTTTTTTGTACGAACAAGATGTTGTTTACGAGGTCCTTCCGGCTAAAATAAATGAAAAATATCTTTAGATGTATAAAATAACTCAATAAAACGACTTATCGTACCTGTCTTTTTAAACTAGAACTTGAAAGAACTTTTCCTTGTAGTTTTGCACTACGTTTCAATTCTTCATTTTTTTTAACACGATTTAAAAAGTCCAAACGACATGTTGAATGTTTAACTTAAAAACGAAAAGAAAATGAAACTGTTTATGTTGAAAAATTATTTCACTCAGCACCGCTTACCATGTTCAACTCTGACATTGATACGTTTTTCCATTATACGGTATCTAAAAAAAGAAATTAGAATCATAAAAACGATACACACACTTGAAAGTAAAGAATAGATGTATGATAACGTTCCCATTTATCATTCGCATTTATTTAACGAATAAATACAAGTTATGTTTTGCTAATCTCTCACTTATTATGTTCACCATTCATTTATGACAAAAAATGAAATAATTAACTATGATGGTGCACATAATTTCAGAACGGTTAAAGAAATGATTAATTACCTTACGCGTTTATTAACAATGACACCAACAGCGTGACGAGTGACATTAAACACACGACCGGTTTTTCCATGATAAAATTTATGTGGCATACCTTTTTGAACAGCTCCGTTACCCTAAAGTAATTTGAATAAGTTTACTATTTTTAAAGAATTACAACGAGAATAAATAAAAAAGTTGTGAAGATTTACTTTAATATCAACAATATCTCCTCGTTTGTAAACCTTCATATAGGTTGCCAGTGGTATACGCCCATTTTTTTTAAATTCTCTTGAGAATAAATGCCGGGTGCCACGACGATAACCCTTGGGATTTACCATTGTTTAATTGGATTATTGATTTTAATCTACAAAGACAAAATTTGTAGAATGATTAGTAATCCTGACACTCTTGTCTCTTATATGCAAAAACAAGAAACAAACTAAATCAGAGTATAACGAAGGTTAGTATTCATCTTTCTTCACCTTTCGTTCAACTTATCACTCAATTAGAGGTGACATTTTACATTTACTTTTTATTAACGTTACGCTTCGACTATGAGTTATTGCCAAGCGACGATAAAGTAGTCGGATTTCATGTGCTTAAACTTTCAGTTTACTGCTACGGAGATTACCTTTTATTTTATTAATACTTAACTTCTGAAATCGTGAGAAGAGCAGGTATTTAGATATCAGTTGTAATATAATGGATGTACGATGCCTGCTCTTCGCTTGCGATACAACTTTTGTATCATAGATAGTTATTTGCACTGAATAATTAAAAACTTAAAAACAGTGAATTTTTTATTTATTAAGTTCAGGAACATACCATATAGAACGATCTCCTATTGAGAATATGAGATTTAGTCTATTATTAATTTAGCAGAGATAAGCATTAGTTACTTTGAAACGGCAAGTTTTCGATATGGTGTTTTACTGTAGAAAAAGTAGTCAAACAACTTCTTTTATCTGGTAACATAAAATAAAAGTAAAGTGCTACATCTACTCTCGATTATTGACTAATATTTTTAACTTCCAGAAATAGAACCAGAAAACAAAGATACATAACTACCGAACGTTACAGACTTACGCCTAACATATCTCTATCCAAATATAATCGATATTACCCAGGTTAAAGCAAGCTAACGCAAATACCGAAGTTTCAGCGCAGTTTCATACTTTTTAGCACTTCCAAAAGAAAAAAATAGGTAACCTGTTTTAATTTAAAAAGCCTTCTTGGTCAGAAGAGAATTTCGACAACTAAAATGGCTTTCACTTTTAAATGGATATCGGTTTCTGTATATGGAAAAGTGAACTCCAGGCAGAGCCAATCTATTCTTTTGGTAAAGCTAGGATAAAATTTTTGAGAAAAGCATCAACATATTCTTAACTGAGTGTTCTCAAAAATATTTGAGTTTGTAGAAAGAGGTAAAACTATCATAGTAAGATATAAAAATCAGTTTCACGTGATAGCGCTACCATCGACGTTAACCGGGTCGTAAGTGAAACTGACACAACGCAAAGGACCATCAAATGTTGAACCCGTTTCAGATAAAATTTGCTTTATTTTAGATTGCAAAATACAAATACAGAAATCGAGAAAAACTTTCAGTGCTTTTATATATGAATCAAAATTGATCTAACATATCACCGGAACAACAAAAATAAAGTTGATTTTGAGTTACTGAAAAGGATTTTTTCGTGTTCAACACACTCGATAACCCGATAGATTTTCTGGTTTTGGCGAGGGGTACTTCCAAAAGTTTAGGAAAAATTTGGAAACAAAATGGCACAGAAAATTTTCCATGGGAAAGTAATATTAGTTTGAAAATTTTTCCTAAACTTTTGGAAGTACCCCTCACCAAAAACAGAAAATTTTTCGAGTTAGCGAGTATGCTGAACACGAAAAAACACTTTTCAGCAACTCAAAACCAACTTTATTTTTTTTTTGTATGATATGATCATGATGTTCGAGAAAGTTGATATAGTTTTGTTAATGTTACTGTTGGATAGTTTTGCTTTATTATTTCTGGTAACACCATTTCTGACGTTTGAAGTTTTGCGAAAGTGTTCATGTAAAATTGTATTGAATAATATCGAAGTATAATTAAGCAGTAATCCAGTTCCTGAATATATGTAGTGAAAAATAATATACGTGTCGATTTTTATAATGAGCTCACCGAAGTTTTATAATTCGAACTACTCTGCACTAATGTAAATGCACTTTGAAAAAATTTGCGGCAACGCCCACCCACTAACAAAATCTTGGCTACGCCCTTAGTGTCGAGACAGCTTAGCTTGAGAAACTAAGAGTCATCCATTCTATCATATCTTCTGATTCAATGCACATTATAATTATACAGAAATATAATTATGCAAACCTATGACGACAAAACATTGTCGGGAAGTACTGATATTTTCACTCGTCGTTATTCAAGTATTTCAACTAAAAAATTCTTTCTTTCTAGGTGAAATACTGGAATTGTTTGTGAAAGTAATCACTATACTTCCGATTTTCAGATTTAGTGAGCTTTCTAATTACATACGATTTAAAATCACTAACTATCGAGTAGAGTTCTCGAAATCCAGGAATACTTTTGCAGAACACTATACGTATTTATACATGTTTCAAGTAATCATTACACTCAATTTGTCAATATGGCACCAAATCATTTACAAAAAAAAACCATAGAACCACGCTACGTTTGTGTTTTCTTCTTCATTTTTTCTTCGAGTTCGTGACAAAGATGCACATCAACGCTTATTCTGATCGTGGGCGCAAAAAAACTTGTACAAAAAGTTATTTGTATCTAGGTTTTTCTACACGATCAAGATGGAGAGAGCAAAAAAAAAATCTCCAAAAGAAAAAAGAACATAGACCTATATGGCTACTCGTATGCGTAATAAAAAAAGAATGTAAAGAAACAAAAATTCTATCGTTCGACTTTTTCCCTTTTATATGCTCTATTTCTGATTATGTGGATGGAGTAAATTGAAAAAAAGTATATATATATATATTTATGACTCATATATATGCACACCAAATATGTTTCTTCGTCATTATAGATGATAAATAAAAATAAAATTACTAATGTTTTGAAAATAAAAACATTTGTACAAGGAAATTTTTTATTTCACGTTCTCTTCTATTATAAACTGTCGAATTATTGTTTTCTTTGTTTTAAAGAAAAAATAAGAAACTATTTACATTCTTGGTACAATATATGATATACAGGCAAAATTGCATCAATCACTTGTAATAACAATATACATGAAATTTTCCAATTATTCCATACCAACCGCTAAATGGTATTATCCGACATCAACAACATACAAACCAACTCGAAGTAATGAACAAACAGTAGCCGATTATTCATATTGTACTCACCATCCATCGATATTGTCAATGAAATCTCTTAAGATATTTAGCCGTTTTATTAGTCATCATAATCATTTAGCCGATGATGATACTTATCAACTACACGATAAACAATTAAATCGAAATTTAGAACGACGTGGTTTCATTCGTTTACCCGTTAGAGGTGATGGTAATTGTTTATTTTATGCTTTAGCTGAAGGTATCCTCCATGAAATGCATGTTGACAAAGATTTTGATTATCGTATTCAAACATTAATGAATTTCACACATAAGAGAACCATAGCACATATCGCCAGTCTTCTACGACAATTATGTGTTGATCAGTGGAAAAAAAATCAACAATTTTACAGCAATTTTATCGATCAAAAAGTAACATTTCTAAAAGAAGTCAAAAAATTTTCTAAAAACGGCGTATCTGAATCAATATTAGGTGACATCGTACCGTTGACTATTTGTAACGCTTTAAATATTCATGTGACTATTTTCACATCAGTATCCGACTTGCCATTAATTGAAGTTAAATCTGATTCAATATTTGGTGAAGGTATAAAAACTATCTATTTAGCTTATAATCAAAATGGTGCAGGACATTACGATGCCGCTTATCGTTATGCTTAAGTAGTTTATCGTTGTGATGTGTTAAACAGGAAATAGGCTCATTTCTATTTGTGTATTTTATCTTTCTATCAACAATCACGTTCAGATAAATTAAAGTCGCTGCTCATTGTCTGTTTGTTTTCCATCATTTTGTTTTTCGTATGATATATTGCTGATATCATTTGTTTTAACAAACGAATGTTTTATAGACAACTTTTTTGTGTACATAAAATATACAATATTAGTTGTCGAAAACTAAAGTAAAGATAAAAAAAAATCAGTTGAAGAATTGACAATATCTTTAGCGGCAATGACCGATTTGGATAATAATCGTTAAAGTCCGCTTCAAGACAAAAAGGGAGAAGTTAGTCCAAAATTTCTCATATTTTTTGTGAACTCTGATGATAATGATCCACAGATGATGCTATTTTAACATTCAACAACAATAACAACAACGAAAACGATTATCCATTTCAAATTGTCACAGAAAGACTATATAGAAAGGCAATTAAAACAGGGAATGGTAACAATGTATCAACAAATGCTCCTCATGTTCATACATATTTCAATACGGATGAAAATCAACTAAACCTCACTAGAAATTCAAGTCGATCATTTATTAATTTGAATTATAACAATCATTAAAACAAAACTGGTAATCGTCATTGTTTTTTGCTCAAGTAATTGAATACAAATGACATTGAACAACGGAAAAATTTATCTTGATTCGATATGTTATGTTGAAGTTCCGTACACAGTTCCATTATTTCTGAAACGTGGTTATAAACACATTTTAGTCATTTTCCGTACACATATCGATAAGTAAAAAATATATTTTAAATCCAGATAAGAACATAATTATGATAGAAATTCTCAAAGATAAATTTGTTATGCAAACAGTAGTGGAAATCATTTGGCCGACGCTCCCGAATGTCCGTATAAAGTCAACTATCGAAAGACACCCCTCCCACAAAAATAACAATAGCTTACATTTTTTGCTGAGTAGTTTAATTTCATCATTATGTGGAAATCTGACTGCAGCTAATGTGATATCAGTTCATGAAGAACAATTTACGTTGACTCAACTTGTTGACATTGAATCATTTCAATCATAAACAACAAAACAGATATCTTAAAGAACAAAACTGAGTAGAGTTAGAAATGGATACAATAGTTTTTTTAATTTCAATTTGAGTGTTAGAGCGGCTATTCATCGACCATCTTCAAGCGATAGTTCTGTTCTGTTGGGTGAAACATATTCGTTACCATCATTTTCTACATTGACCTGTTGATCATAAGAGAGTCCTCCAGTAGGTTTATTCAGGCAGTCGTTTGAATGTAACAATTCGTCTGAAATAAACAGTCAGAATATGAAACAATGAAAATCCATTCGTTTAGTCTTTCGAGTGACATATAGATATAGCCAAAGATGTGCGCCGCCGCTGAAGGCGGAGAAAAATTGTTGCGACTTCAGCCGCCACTGACAGCGGAAAAAAACTGCTCTGACTTCCGCCGCCATGCCGCTACACTTTTGTAGCCGCCAACGGCGGAGAACATTTTGACTGTTTTTGTTAGTACGTTCTTATCTTAGGCATCTAGAGTGCACCGCGTTTCTATCTTTTCGTATACGGCAACGTACAGATACAGTTGGTGCGCGAAGAACGTGCCAGAAATGTAAGAGAACGTTGTTTTACTTAAATTATGAGATTCGCCGCCAATAACCCACTTTTACACGACGCCACCGAAGGCGAAGGAAATTTTCATAGCCTCGCACCGCCGCCGCCTATGGTAAAAATTTCATTCGCCGTCGCCGAAAATTTTTTATCGGCGTGTTACGCTTTTAGGTGAGTTATTTAAATTCGTAACAACAAAAGAAAAATTGTGTACATATATTAAATAAGTGATCAACAACAGCCGCGCTAACATCTTTATTCGAAAATTGACAAAGTGGTAATATACACTTGAAAACGTCATTACCTGTCCCTTTAGTATCGTTTTATTTAATAGCAGTTGTTTGCTTACATATTTTTATGATTCTATTAATTATCTGAACGAATGTTACTGGTCTATTTTTTGCTCTTACGGTATTAGAAGTGAGGAACCGTAACCCTTAACAGCAGTACTTCCGCAGATCAACCACATCCCTACGTAGTGAGTGTGTATATATAGCTATTCCCTTGACTTTAGCATATAGTCTTATAAAATGGTCGTCTGTGTCTGCGTAGACACACATGTGTGTGTGTGTGTGTGTGCGCAAAATACGGAAAAATGACTATTAGATATTCCATGGATGATCCAATCACAAGAGCGAAATGAGAGAGAAAATATTCAAAGTGATGTTTGAAATAATATTTACTGATGCAGAAAGAAAAAAGGCTAGGCGAGCTTTTTCTGCAGTTGAGAGATAGATGTCGCCAGGAATGAGTCAATTCTGATAACACAAAAAAGTCATCTACGGATAAGCTACAGAATATAGATAGTCTATCATGACGAATCGATCAGAAATACTTGCAGCTCCGCTTCAGATCTTCAGAGTGTGCCCAGAAAACTTTTCAGCTTTATAAGAAAAAGAAAATGCCGTAATGCAGGCCACTGAGTTTTTTTAAAGTCATATAACAGTAAGAAGTAGAAGGAAAAAGAGGTTGAACAGGTACGTCAAAAGTAGCGGATATACGAAAATGAAGAGAACAGCCAACAGGGGAAAAGAAGAGAAAGAAACATTGTTCCAGGAAGAAGGATAAAAGATATAGTCAATACACGTATTTGAAGTAGTAGTGACAGAAAAATTAACAAGAAAACACAGAAAAGAACTAGAGAGACTTTGCACATTGTACATTTCGGAAGACACATTGAACTTAAAACTAAGATCAGGAGACAACAGGAGGTTAGAAGAGATAGAGGAATTATCTTCTGTTGATCAGATGAAATTCCGCGAATGGAGCAGTGTTACTAATACGTTACACTGTATAGTCTGAAGGAAAGAGTTTTTGATAATGCACATAAAATGTAAAATATTTGATAAAAAAAAAGTGCAGGACGATGAGTGAATACATCATTGTAAGTTGAGTTGCCTATCCGAGAGAACGTTTTCTCGAGATGCTATTAAATAAGAAGCAGAATGTAATTCTTTTCAATTTCATCAATAGTTGGCAAGTGATTTGTTTCGAAATATCTGACAGATATTCAGCACAGATTTTTCCTTTTTTAAACCAGAATTTAACCCTTCAAGACCCAATGTCTACTGAGATGGACATTAATAGATATCGAAGAATTACTATGGCAAGGTAACGATGCGTCTGATCAAAAAACGGATCATTTTCCAGTGTAAGCGGACACCGTAAGCCAGCAAATGCTAATATAAGGAAACATTTTTTCGGTCGGTCTAGACGAAGGTAAGAGTTTCAAGCTCGCTTTATGTAATTAGCTATAGAGGTACTTCTACAGATCAATCACACCCCTACGTTTGCACGACAACATTATTGATGCTCTAAAACATAGCTGAGAATCTACCTGATTTCTGAGGTTATATTGTGCTTCTGAGTACTTAGTATCCTTGAAAATTATCCCATATCCATTTATGATGACCATTCAAACACGGTGCACTTGGACTATACAGTATTAATCCAAGTGTTTGACAAAATGACGTAGAATCTTTCACACTGTAGTTTGGAATTATTTCCTACTTTATAGAAAATGGCTCTGGAAAATCGCCAAGCATTTTCCACCTTTTATAAAATCCTCAACGATTTTCGGACTCCTCGGAAAATGTTGATTTTCTACTTTATACTCCGCTCGATTTTCTATGAATTGACTTTTCTCATTTACCAGAAAATCGACTGATTTTCTATAAATAATTTGCAACGTTCTTGAAATTCCACAGCGATTTTCTAAATAGTTGGAAAATCGAGTTCGATTTTCTAAAAAGAAGAAGCGGTGATTTTTTTCTTGCTTCTTTCAGATCTATTAAAGCCTACATTGCAACAAGTTGTCCTGTAACAGATCTCTGCTCCTTTTAGTATTTAACATCGGAAATGTTAGTAGATGCGGAAAGTTCTTTCAGTTTTTGCAAATCAGCATATTCTTCGAGAAGTATTGTTGTTGTATAACACTTGGAGATCACAAAGATGTACTGAAAAGGTTCTTGCGCTTGCCTGGTTGAGACAAAGTCGAGTTTCACCGCAACTTTCTGAAGATCGTAAAGCGATTAGCTCTTGCTAATATTCCTCATTTTGATGAGTGAAGGACATTTCGTCTCAGGCCATTCCGAACTCCGGACATGTAACAGAATGTTTGAAAATGAATTTTTATCCCTGAAAATATATGACGGGAGTTCGTAAACAATATTGTACAGGAGATCCGAACATCCTGGTTTTTGCCATATTTTATTGACTTTTGCAATTGAGAAATCCATCCCGAACATCCGGTCTTTTTACTTATGCCCGGAGATCGTAACAAACTACTGCTACCGGAGTTCGTAATGAAGAGGTGAGACGAAGTGTCAATCTCCCATTTTTATGTCTGAATTTAGCATCCCCCCTACATCCACCCCTACAGCTAATTACATAAAGCGAGCTTGAAACTCTTACCTTCGTCTAGACCGACCGAAAAAATGTTTCCTTATATTAGCATTTGCTGGCTTACGGTGTCCGCTTACACTGGAAAATGATCCGTTTT